CATCCTTGTGGACACACTGCAAAGGCTTGTGCTCATTACAAATTAGAGATCTTTGTTTATATTAAGAGCAAAATCAAAAATTAATAAACATACAACTTGCCTTGCATAAGTTTTTACCAGTTACAGTTTGTGTTAAATGTTTTGTTTTTGTTTAATGTATTTTGTGATATTTTGTGTCTTGACAAACTTCAACGTTTAGGTGAATTCAACAAGGCTGATTCTGATTTTGTTAAACTGGTAAAAGAAGTTCTTCTGCAAAACAGCATGTATTACAAATCGGCTCTGATGCATTAAGGATCAAAATAAACTCCATTTTTATTTTACTTAGAATTTAAACTTCCCTCTGTTTATCTCCACAAAAACAAAGATGACTTTTTTACTGACTGTTATTTTTGTCTTCTTTCTCATAATTTATCTGCAAATTGACAGGATTTTATTTTTAAACCCACCGAAACATCTGCAATCAAATATCACCATAAAAGGAAACTTTGCTGTGTCTGACGCAAAGAATCACTTCTTCTTTTTATTATGAGAACTGCTAACTCAAATAAAATTAGATGAATTTCTTGGTTGTGCTGTTAAAAGCTCCGGAAGAGGCTCCGAAATGTTATCAGTAATACGGAAATTAGCTCATCAACAAGTAGTTGGCATTTCCTATCAGATAGTCTCATTGTCTTCTGTGTCATCAACCGGAAGAGAGCAATCAGAAAAACCTGGGAGGATTCTAGCAAAAGTCAGAACTTCCTATCTGGTATCTCAGTTCACAAACTTCACAAATAATCAATTTATCAGACAAAGTTTCCTCTGAAAACTTTACAACCTCTGAAAACTAACAAACGATGACAGCAGAGGGGAACATTCAGGTTGTTTAATACTAAAAGAAAAAATAAATGTTCAAAGTAAATGACATATGAACAGTTTTAGTGAGATTTTTATGTTAAGAAATTTAAAAATATTTTAAATGTGCAGAAAAGGGGATAAAAATGTGAAATCAGAGGATATTTAGTTACATTTAACTTCAGTTTGAAATTGTTAATATTTTTGTCTGAACACAACATAAATGCTGGTACACTCAGTTCTAACGGCATTTATTCCGGCAGTAGATCGAAGACATGGTGGCATAATCACCTCAGCACGGTAAAAGTCAGTCTTAACTCTTCACATTACATAAATTAGGTCAAATAAAGTTGTTTTTCTGTAGTTTGAATAAATTTGTATTCTGATTTTAGAACTAAAACGTGTCATTGATGGCTCACAGCTTAATATAAAAATATATAGAGAAGTCACATTTATAGACAAAATAATTAATACAGTATTTTTTCCATCTGCTGTGGTACTAACATTAGAAGTCTAACAGTAAAACATCTTAACATTGACATCATTTTACTAATTGTGTCAAGTTATGTGGCTGTTTGGTTTGCACTTCAAGCCAAAAATAGCAGAAGTTCCTCCTGAACGTCTGCTATAATAATATTCCTACTGAAACTGTTGAAGACTTGGAAGTGAATACTTTGCAGACTCTTAGAAATTTCACGCTTTGCCATTAATTAACTTTAATTACCATTAATGCAATCAATTTACCTGCCCTTATTGTTCTTGACCTTTTAAATTAGGAGATGTTAAAAAGAAAAATTAATTGGAGAAATGATTCTTAAAATTCATTTTGGAATTTCAGGAGTTAAGATTTAATCAGTGTGAAATATCATATGTCATGCAAAGACACTCATTATTCATACACAAAGAAATCCCACAAGTTAAACAACAAGCCTGATTGTACTTTAGGTTTGCAAGCTGGCTTTGAGTGCATCATAATGGCTTTTTTAAGTTTGATTCCATATTTAGACGCTTCATCTTTCGGAAACGGTGAACATGGCAAGACGTTCTCAGTAAATAAATGAAGTCTGACTAATTTGTTGAGTTTGACTGGAGTGAAAAATACAATTAAGATGAGTGAAATGTCAGAGCAATGCATTCATGGTACAGTTTTTAGAGTACTTATCTTCTTCTGGGAGAAGGAGTGACGGCGAGATAAATGGTGAGACGCAAGGTCTCTCCAGCCACTCTGCGCAAGAAAAGTGTCACAGATGGACGGCGAACATCACCCTGTCACTTCTCTCCACCTTTCCGCAGCCTCAGCCTTTCAGCAGATATGACTGTGACATCACCTCCACCATCCTCCATCTGAGCGCTCTGCTCTCATCAGCTGCTCAGCTTTAATTAGATGAGGATGATTCCAATAAAGTTAAAGCCGTCCTCACTCCCATTAGTTATATTAACAGTCGGATTCCAGCTTCTGGAGTCTCCTATCCTCCGCGTTTCACCGGGGGGCCGATCCTGCTCTTTTCATGGATCTGTGTAACCTAGTTACTGAGGCCCAGCAGGGGAGGCCAATCAATTAATGAACAAAAGGAGCCCGCTCAGTGAGCAGCAGCACAAGCCTGGATCTATAAACAGGGCGCTCCCAAAACATGGTTGCTGTCAATTCAGTGCTCATCTGATGGATGTTGTTTTGCTTTGTTATTTTCCCTGTGTGGGTGTGAGGCACTGTTTCACTAGTGTCTAATAAAACTGGAGAATAAATGTTACTTGAGAGCAGTGCAAAGATGAGATAAATGTAATTCTGCGCAGTTATGTGAAGAAATTAGAATCACAGTTTTATTGATTAGTATTGAAATCATTGTTGTCCAGAATGGTTACACATGGAACTTAAAAAAAAAAAATAAAAAAAAATAAACAATGAGCAGTCAGTTGTCTTATATATTTAAGCATGTTATGCAAAATTATACAAAATAAGGTTAATTTGATACGTAAAATTTTAAAAATATATTGTAAACTGTAAATCAATTGTGCATGAATATATTAAGTAACTGGTGGAGAAGAACATTATACCTGTTGATCCTTGTAGACTAAAATTGCAGACCCTTTTTTACTAGTACCGCTACAGCACAGCTTGACTTTACTCAACTTTATCTCCTCATGGTTCAAGTGATTTTTCATTACAATTGAGTAACAACACTAGCAGGTGGGGTCACGATATAGTGGGTGGCAGCTGAGTCTGAAAAGTAGCGCAACTTAACCTGTATGCGACACAAGCGCTGCACAACACTGGCGACTTGGAAGCCATGTTGAACCGTCTCTGACTCTCGAAACGGGAGAGAGCCAGACTCAGAAGTACAGGAACGTGTGAGAGTGGCTCTTATGGCAATACCACCGACTCCATCCCCCCAGCCAATTGGTGACCAACAGCCTCTGACATGTTCAGCCCATCTTGAAATATGTTCTCAAAAGAGGCCGGTACCATGTAGTGGTACCACACGGTATTTTCTAGTGGGAAACCCTCACAACCAAATAGAGTCAAGTCGAGCCACGCTGAGAAGGCACTGTTTCTTTCTTTTTTTTCTGCAGGCAATCCTTTAGTAGCATAGATTTGGAAAGAGTCACTGTGGTTAAACCTTCAAGCTTCTTATCTCAAATTGATCCTGAATATAATTGGAGCATATGTTTTGCCTCTTATGCTATTAGTATGGAAAGCCAGTCTGCAGTTTGACTCTTTTTGTTGTTTTCCATAATGATAAAAAATTACAAACAGTTGAAGTTGTCTGTTTCATATTAGTAAATCAATGGTTATTTGAGTTAAAGCGGAATGTCAGGCTGTTCCAAACACCAGCAAGTTTCTCTAAGCTACATCTCTACTCTAAACTACAGGAAAAAATTAAGTACAATTTCAGCAGTTTTAATTGTTTTTATTATTTCTGTTAACATGTTAGAGTTAGGGAGTTAAGCTAAAAAACAGATATGTGTTCACAGGTTTAATGTCTATATTAAGAAATTGCCTGAGGGCAACAAGCTCATTTTGATGGGCACCTCTCTTTTGTGTGTTATCCTCTGGTGCTTGCATGTTATCTTTCACCACTTTCTCATCTTTTCTTTTTCTCAATACCTCTTTTCATACCAGTGAGTCACAGTTTTTTTCCCCCTTTGCAGCTCACCTCTCTACCCCTCATCCCTCAGGTCCACCCCATATTCTGTGCTATCTTTTGTCTCTCCAGCCTCCCGGTCTCTTTATCATCTCCTTTCTTAATCCGGCTTTCGTCCCCAGCGTCCCCCCTGTCCTTGGAGTTTCCAGCTCTGTCTCCTAGTGTGTGAGATCAGGGAACAAGCTGTTGTAACAAGCTGCTGAATAATGTAAGCTCAGGCTATAGGCCAGAGTTTCAGTTAACCCTTTGATCTCTGATCACACGATGGGTTAGGTAGATGCGTCATAGACGAAGCCAGACAGCAGAGGAAAGCTGCCCGGAGGACGTTTTGCTTCCTCCTGTTGGCACCAAGAGGCTAAAGTTTCCCCATCCGGTCTCTTTGTCGACGCCTTTGTAAGCAAGAACGCGCAGAGTATCCCCATCCTTTGTTATTCTAACACTGATGTATAATTAAAGGGTTAGAAAAGGCCAGGCTAAATAATTTATACTACAGCAAAGAGGCTGTGGCATTCTGAACTTCATTGTATTATGTATTTTTACTTGTAGAGCAGATAAAAATAAAAAATAAAAAAAAGTCACCAGTTTGATATCTTTTTTTGTATGGTCAGCACTGATTTAATATGGAGCTGTGTTGCCATTCTTTCATCATCTCTAGTAAAAGAACATATCCCCTCATTTTTATATCCTATCCCTTTCCAATTTGGTCAGGTCACAACAATGAGAAACAAAAAAGTAATCGCTGAAAACTGAAAAAGATTGGCATCACTGGCTTAGCCCCGTGGGCTTAATGCGAGGTCTCTAGCTCAACATGAGCTCATGTAATGAAGTCTTGGCAATTGGTCCAATGAGGGGGAGGAAGTAGTATCCTGGACATCTAATATTTCTTCTGTGTAGAGGCTCCTGGCATGGAAACTATAGGAACATTAGCCATTATTGTTGTTAAAGTAATGTTTTCTCGACAGTACAGTTTGCTCAGAAGCTAATGCAGCAAGTCTGTCCAGCAACAGATGACAGAGTTGCTATATAAGTAGGTAGCCTGGCTAATTAACTGTCTACTATAAGCTAACTATCGGTTTTATGCTATAAAGAGCAGAATAGCAAAAAAAAGGACAATATTCTGTGCCAAGAGCTCTAATAAAAAGTTACTGTGGAATCACTCTAGTTATTGAATTTATTGAATTTTACAAAAGACTCCATTGTCGTTGTCATTTATATCATACACACTTCTTGTTTTGTTTGATGGCTGGCCACAAAGACATTCTGCAGTTCAAAAAGGACATTTGAAATTGTTCTTCTGCATAGCAGAACACTAGAATTCAACTTATTATTCATTTGGTCCATTCTCTCAATATTTATAAGTTCAGTGGCTTTAAAATGTTGACCATTTTATTTTAAGATTTTAGTGTTTTGCAGTAAATCTTTATTGGAGCTGTACACTGGTTTGTATCAATCAGCTGATCGGATTATGCGTTTCTAGTCACAAAAGACCCCAGCTAGCACGTAAGGCCTCATTAACTCTTTGTAATCAATACAGATCCCCCTCTCCTTAAGTGCTCCTAGTTAGCTTTCAAGCCTCATGTCCTGAGGCTAGGGCGTATTGATCTGTCGCTCTGATTGGAAGTTTCCCCTGAAGAGGTGAAGGACGACATTGGGACAGAAGATGTCTTGGCAAGATTGGAGACTTCAGGACTGGATCGGCTTTCTTCCTCTCACCCTCCGCTTCTGTCACCACACCTGTTACAGCCAGGAGGATGAAAAAAAAAGTGTCACAAATCTGTCTGCCTGTGCAAGTCTGCGTGTGTGTGTGTGTGTGTGTGTGTGTGTGTGTGTGTGTGTGTGTGTGTGTGTGTGTGTGTGTGTGTGTGACAGAGTGGAAATGACTGTTTGTGTGCTCACAAGAGCGAACGGCTGAGAGGCGTATCAAATGAGAAATGTGTTACATGGGGTTTATGGTGACGGCTTGCGCCTTGGCGCTTTGACTCAGGAGGCTTCCAGCCCCGTCATGGATGGCTAAGAGGAGACGGATTTCAGATTTTACAAGGCTAACCCGCGAATTAACCGTCTGCTTTAGCGATCAGGTGGTAGGACCCAAAACCATCCGAGCGCACATGCTCGCTCACATACGTTTGTGGCTCTCCACACATGAGAGCACATATACATACACACCATTAAACTGTCAGGGATGATGTGTGTCTGTGCGATGCTGCTCTGCAGCATTTAATCCATAACTCTGACAGGCTGCTTCCCAGCCTTGAATGGAAGTGGATTGCTGTCTCTCCACACTTAAATGCAAGAAGTTTTGCCTCTTTCATTTCCTGATTTTACCAATTGGGTTCCAAAGCGTTTTAGGCCAATACGTACACCGAGCATGCAGCCTGGAGAGAAGTTTGACCATTTGCACACCCCCTTCTGTAAACTGATACATGTGTGTGGTGTCACAGTTGGATACACAACAGCTGTAGAGGCGGCAATGAAGAGGGGAAATGGGAATAGCCAGCACAGTAGACAGAGCCCAGATAGACCTGTCAGCTCTGTGACACCCACGCATACCTCACACTCTGGTCCCAGAGCGGCAGCACAGGAAGGGAAAGCAGGGCGGCTGGGCTCAGGTAAAGAGCTTCGGAGAGCGCTGGTGGTAAAGTTTAAAATAAAACTATGAAACAGAAAAAGGTGGGCTGAGGCAGAGCTGTTTATTTCAGGGAAGCTTGAAGGACCTATGGGAGAGGGATTTGGAGACCTGCCATAAACAATCTCTTCAATTATTCAGCGTCTTTTAGCTTTTTGTTGTTTATTGTTTCCCACAGATTTTTAAGGAGATGTTCCCTTAAAGTTACATATACAGTTCCAGATCTGATGGACTTGAAAGACTGATGTAAAAACAGAACTGTCTGTGTGTCTAGACCTTCATCCTCTTTTACAATCCTCGCCATAAACACCAAAGTTGGTGGTCTCTGCTTCATTCAGTTCACTGTTGTAACGTAAACACTGACTAATTATTGTATCTTTTACTGAGCTTGCCTTCTCAAATATAAACGTAAGTAAAAGTTATGGATTCTTTGGTACATTTGAAAATACTTATGCTTGGGAAGGCAAAAAACATTGCCTTCACTGGCAATATCTTTTGACATATGTTTTCTTCAAAAGTTGACCTTAGTTTAAAAAGGATTACCATGGTAAGGTCTTCCATCTCAACATTTTAGCAGAACAGTTATTGTTTTTGTAAGTGGTTGTGGTCTATATATCATGTAAAATGTGAACTGATTGCTGGGGAAAGTTATCTCTGTGTCCCAATGATTTTTTTAAAGAAATAATTTTTCATTTTCCCATTTCCCCATTTCAATTTTATGATTTAAACAATGAATGTTTCTGCTCCTAAAGAGGCTCTAAAATGATTTAAATCTAATCCCTGTCGCAACTAAGCTGCACACCACAGACCCTCGCCTTCTCTTTCTTTATTTGCCAAGGATAAAACCCAACATAACTAAGAAATACTCTCAAAATTCTAGGAAGGTAAAAAGTGAATTGGTAAAACCATAAAATTAGCTGATTTGCTCGAGGTAGACCACTTTTTGACTTAATCATTCAATGGTTGTGTGACCAATGACAGCATTAAGTGACACAGATAGTAAATACTAATTTTGAGTCCAGTTCTCATCTCCCAACAGATTGGTGAATCACCCAGGCAGCACTTATTAAATGCTCAGTCCAGAAACCCTGTCGACTTTTGGCCTCTTCATTGCAGAGGTAATCAGGTTTTGATGATGGCCTTCTGTAAGACAGATGCTCCTCTCACTTACTGGAAAAAAAGATATAATTTAGATATTTTCTGTGTCGCTCTTTCATAAATGAAGTACATTTATTTTTCAGTTATTTGTGAGCTTATTTTTAGCATGCAAAATAATTTCTGACTGCTGAGTACACCTTGTGATGTTGGGAAATTGTTGTGATGACACTGTTGGCCCATGCTGTGAAATGTTTTTTTTTTTTTTTACTAGTTTCTAGTTACAGTATTAGCATAGAAAATAACAGATTTAGTGGGATGTTGAAAAGTGAAGCTGTGCTGTTACCTCTAGTTTGTGAGAGAGCAGAAAAGCTTCTCTTGTAGCCAACCTTCAAAAATACACATGATTATTTGTGGGACTCATTACTGGACCCACAACTGGGATTGTAATGTGTTACTGCAGAAGGCCAATGATGATACTGGTCCTTCCTCTGCACTTGAATTGTTTTTATGCATTTAGTGTCTTTGCTCTGTTTACCTCAGGCGGGGGGGCTGTGTCAACTGTGTGCTGTTTATGTAGAGCACACTGTGGATAAATTTGCACTCTCATCCGGTTATCTGTTGTTCTTGATTGTGTTTTGAAAGCGAGCCGATGATTGGGAGGAGTGTGCTTTTCATGCTGGAGGAAAACTCCTTATCTGCTTGATCTCGCAAGCAAAAAATATGGGCGGCCCAACAGAATATCATTTCTTGTGTCAGCTTTTCTTCCACGCCGGGATGTTCTCATGGGAATGCATTTCTGCTGCGCGAATCACAGACGGATCAGTGCGGGCCGTTTCTTATCTGGACATGAAAGCGGGGAAGATGGAAGAGGTAGGCGAGAAAGGGAAAAGGAGAGGAAGGGCTCCTCTGGGTACGATGGTACCTGAATTTTGCGCAGCACCCTCTTGAATCTAACTCATCATCGTTTCATGAGCAGGTATTACTTATCTGTTTTGCAAGGGAGGATTTGCCTGCATCTCTGCTGTTGTCCATCAGACTGATTGAACAGATTAGACATTTATATTGTTTATATCTCCCCAGCAGCCTTTGTTGCAGCTTGCCTGAGGGTTTTCATAATTAGTTTAATCATTTTCAGCTATTTCTCTTGCTTCCAACAGCTGCATTTCTGGTTCAGATGAGGGCTGCAAAATGATCTCGCAAGCAAAAATATGGGCGGCCCATACTGAAGCAAATGTAAGAGTTGCCCTCAAACTATGCAGAGTTTTATGTACAGAAATGTACAACCAATCATATCATATTCATATTTAATAAAATACATTCCAGTTTGATCCTAGTTATAATACAATTCAGTCAAGTTCAGTTTGTTATGTTTGATTTTGCAGCAATACTTTCTCCTAAGGGAGCATGTGGCGACAGTGAAAAGAAATAGCTTCTTTTTAGCAGGAACAAACCTCCAGCAGAACCTGGCTCAGTGTGAGAGGCCACCCGCTGCCAACAACTGGGGGTTGCAGAAGTACTGATCTGTGTCAAAGAAAAGGTACACATGGTTAACAGAGGCAGTAGCTGCTTTAGTGGCTTCCTTTAGAAAAGAAACGCAGCTAGCAGATGAGATCTGAGCCAGTAGTACAATATATACGGTGAAAATGGGACATTTAGTTAGTTGCAGCAGTAGCTCCTACAGTGCCTTTGTTAAATATAAACCAAAGGGTGCAACAACATTGCTGCATCTTGCAGCAATGTTGTGCACCCTTTGGTTTATACCAAAGGGTGGTTTATACCAAAGGGTGCAACAACATTGCTGCAAGATGCAGCAATGTTGTTGCACCCTTTGGTTTATATTTAACCCTCCCATAGGCCTATGAGGGTTTGAGAGGATCCCACGTAAGCGTTTTACCCTGGGTGCAGTCCTCTTGAGGTCACATTGACCCTGCATGCGCTTTTATGGGTTTTTTGGTTGTCAAGTTTTTGGGAACTGGCAGGTTGACGGGAAAAATCCCATCACTTCCCCGTTGTTTGACAGTGATATCTGCTGCTCTTTTCCTGAGTGTCGCGTTAATACTGCAGGGAAGTAGACCCGTCTTTAGCATCACATGCTATTTATTAGTTCAGCTAGTATTATATTTTTGTAAGTATTCCTCAGAAAAAAATAGATCCTTATTTTAATTTAGAGATTTCCAAAGGACTGCCAGCCTTTTCAAATGCCAAATGTTTCATACCAGATGATCAAGGCTCAAAAGGATCAGACAGCAACTTTGCTGCATTATGCATAGCCTTGCTGTTACCTCCTACAAATTCTGCTCTCTCTCATAGCCTGGACAAACAGCAAAGAGACTTAACATGTTAAAGATCATAGTTTTATTTCTTCATATGACTTCATTTTAAACATCACATCGGAACTAAAATTAACAACTTGGTGTCTCCTTCAGTAACAGCCTCCACACAGAAAAGTGTTGTTACCATTACCCATTAACTCTTAATGTATGGTGCACTTACTGCTTAGGATAAGATAAACTTTTGGAGTTTTTTTTCCCCAGCGTGTCACTGGTTTGCGCTGATTTCGGTCTTTTTCCAGTGTCTCTCTATATCTTTACACAATCCAACTAAACTGCCATTTGGTTGGAGTGACTGCATAAAACTGCTCTGACGAGTACTGTTCTTTGCCATTGCCCCCTCCTCCCAGATCCCGAACCCCCCACCCACCAATCCCTCCCAAACGCCTACACTCTCATTCACAGACAGACACGCCTTATCCGCGAGCAGTTTGACTTTCACCTCTGAGTGATGTTTATTATCTACATGAGGAGGGGACCCATTATGATTCCTCTGTCCCGGTGGAGACATTGTACTGCCCGCCATGCTCTCATGTCCTTCAGTAGTGTCCTGAGATGACAGTGGATAAACAATGGGAGCAAACAGTCACTCCCTCCAGCATTGATCTGGCTCTCCCTCACCCTCCTTGTCCCTGCTTTCACCAGCAACGCCACATTGATTCCACCTACGCTCAATTTATATGAAAGCAACCCCCTACTTCCACGCACACACTTGGACTTCTTTTTTTTTTCTTTTCCTTTTTACCAAGACTGACAAAAATGATAAATGACTACCCCCTTCGTCCTGCTGCCACCACCTCCCTCTGCCTGATGCCGGCTGTCCGAGTCACTACAAACCTATTCGAGTCTCTTAGAAATCCAGTCGAGTGAGCAGCATTTTCTTTTCTGTCAGGGAAGAGTCTGAGGGGCCACCTTGTAATTTCAACACAAACATGTCGCTGCCATAATTTCATCCCCGCAGGACATCCATATTCATGATGTCCAACACTTTAAAGGAAAAGACAAATGAAGGAAATGATAATGTATTTCATTGTAGGGGTCACTCATTCTGTGGCTGCTGCCTAATGGTGCGCAGTGTCACTCAAAGATGAAGTCATTCATGTGCACCGTCTCTGAAGCGAGGTCAATTATTTCCGTCCATTTGGCTGAATCGGTTCTTTCTTTTGTTGCGCCATCGTTATCTGCATGATTTGTCCACTGTGTAATCAAATGAATTAAACTGATGTTAATTTAGACATCACCCTGCATAAAACAATGGTGTGACTGTCCATCTTCCGATGATTTTTACTGCACACATCCAGTGTCCCCATGCCTGTAAATAGGCCACAGGGGGCCTATAAATAGAGAGACTGTTGCTGCTAGCAGACAGCATGAGAATACGCAAATGTTAAATGCAGCCGTCGGCCATTTTCTGATGTCGAGGTAGACAAGAGTTAAGAAAAAAATATCTTTTAGTCATCCTGCTCTTAGTGCTTTGTTCTTTTTTTTAGTTGAAGATTGACCAAAATCAGAATGAGCAGGTCAAACCTCAAAAAAAACCATCCGTAGGGATCGGTCTAGAAACGATTGATTGCAGCTCTGCTTCTAACGCTACGGGAAACATTGGATTAACTGGAGTTCATTACGTAGAGTAGTGCTGTGGTCCTCCACCTGCTGCTGTGAAAGATCTCTACATGTCTCCATCCACTTGAAGAAAGACAAATTAAATGGCAGAATTTCTAAAGCTGGTCTGTTATATTTCTTAAAGAGTAGAACAGCAATCTGCCAAGTTTAGAGTTATTAAGTCTTTCTTATTAAAATGAGAATAAGTATGAAATATTCAGCAAATAATTAGATTGTATCATAAGAACAGTGACTGGCAGGGTAAATACCACAAAATCATGAGTGTTTTTTTTTTTTTTTGGCAATGTATTGTGTTTTGTTGGTGTTGTGTTTTTCTGCTAGATTCAGAAATCCTACCTCTACCAGTATCATCCAGGGTGTTTTACTTTGTTTCTCCACTCAAAAATCCCACCATCAGTCACCAGCATATACTTTGATGCACTTTTTTTGAGTGTAAAATATTGAATAAAGTTTATGAAAATATGAGTTCATGATGGGATGATCCTGTAATTTTTAAAGTATTATATTTGGTTATTACACACTGCTGGTGAACTGGCTAAAAAAAAGACTCCTGTATTTTTTTTCCTGTATAGTTTTGTTGCTAAAGAAAAAAAACACTTTAAATTATTGGTTGAGTTTTGAAACATTCTTGCAACAAAATTACATTCAAGCATTAGGGATTATGTTTTGAATAAAAGTAATTGAATTAAACTGTATGTTTCTGTTTTAGATTTGTGTCCTTATATCACACAGGCCATAATGGACAAAATATATCAAACTTTTAAGATGCTAGAACTCAAAAATGTTTCATCATATCACTTCTAAGGTTTAAAATAATTTTAACGAGATACAAGAAGAAGAGCCAGAGTGAATAGTGTTTTTGTCCTTTACTCAAGGTTATCGTACTGTGAGAATTTCACACTGACCATTTAATAGAACCGCATGTTTCTGCGTGTGGAACGGGGTATTGACGAAGTTGCTGCTTCTGCTTTCCAGTCTATCTCCCTCCCATGTTCTCCCGTGGCTCCTAATGCTCATCCGTGCTGCTTTTCCCACTCTGAAATAATCCGTTCTCCACTTCCCAATGCCCTCTGATCCTTCTGTTCGGATACCACCTGCTTGAGATTTAAAGAAGACTGCAGGTTAGGGAGCCTATTCGGGATTAAAATAGGTCAGCAGCGCCATGTATATTTTATGTCCTGCCCTCCCTGTTTTTATTCATCTTGGCCCTAATCAGCCTCACATGATATGAATGTGTAGTCAAACCATTACGCCTGAGCCCGCTCCAGCTATCTTTCCTGAGGACGATATCTATGTTGATGGATTATGGCGTGAACCTTTTAATGAGAGTCTAAACCTAGGATCTTCCTCTGCCCTTTGCAGAAATTGCAGAACAGTTGCAGTGCAAAGAAATGTCTCTAATTGCCATTGGACGCAGTTCTGCTGTCTTCCCGTTCTCTTCATTATTGCTATTAGGAGAAGATTGCTCTCCCTTGTCTGTGTTTGAAGATGATTCTTTCACTCTTTGTCCCATTATTGTGTCAAAGAATAACATTGCAATCATTTCAATTACGACAGTGCTGGGATCGCGCTCTTCAAGTAGGGCCTTGAGATGTAATTGGAGGGGCTTTGGCGAATAGAAAGGCATTTACACCCCCCACCCCCCACCTCCTCCTCCTCCTGTGAAATTGCCTCAGTCCTGGGGACAGTAAATTGAGTTGCTGAAAAATGATGTGATAATTCTGCCACATGGCTCAGTTGGGCAAATTGTCTGAAAGTGACTTTCTAGAGAATTAGAAGGCAAAACAACATTTCCCTCCCGAGTCTCCTGTCCTTCACGCAGCAGCATGAAATGAATTGATGAGACAGAGAGAGAGAGAGAGAGAGAGAAGTGTCGCTGTAAATGTTTGCAGCTGAAATGAAGCCGCCTGCTTGTGCATTCAGATCGGGTGGGAGGCAGAAGCCGGAGTGAAGACACAGTGCCTCTTTTCCTCACTATTTCACAGCCTAAGCTTTTAATCACGGCAACCACAATGGGTGCGTAAAATGGAATTCAAATTTCAGATTGATTGATTTTATATTGATGATTGCCAAGGCTGGCTTAAGAGGGGAGGAAAAGAAGAAAAAAGGGAACACGACAGTGGCTTTTAAATGTACCCTCTTTAAGAAGACTAACTCTTGCTCCCTTCATGTGCTTGTTTGTCGTCTTAGATGTGCTTCAAAAGAAAAAAAATGAAAATTTGTGCTTTTTGAAGTTTAATCTCCTGCAAGACAGGGTAAGAGTCTGAATGCAAATGAAAAATGTACTTCGGCTTTGCTTTTTTTTGCTGCTTTTGATGGAAGCTCAGCGGTTTTAGGAGTTGTGGAATGTCGGCATCACAAAAATATAAGTTTGTCGTCTCACGTCTTATGAATGAGCAGAGTGCATAAACAGAATTTAAAACAATCGAAGGAATTAAAAACTTGTTTTCAGGAACAGGCTAGTAGGAAATTGTGAGGAGTGAAAAAAATATTTTAATTTCATAAATAGAAAATAGAAAATGGAAGATGTCCACCAATATTTAATGACTTTTTTATTGGCAGAAAAACTGTTTCTTTTTTGTCGTTGTTGTGTAGCATTAAGCCTGATACTGCAAATAATTTCAAGTCACACTGGTTTTTGCACCCAGAGAAAATCTTTTGTTCGACTTTAATTATCTTGATTGTTATAATTCAGGTTTTCTGCCCCAGTGAGTAACAGGCCACCTTATATAAGAAGACATGTTAGCTCTTGTAGTTTGTCGCTAATGTTGTTCTTTCTTTTCCAATCTGTCATGAAACGATAATCTGTGGAGCTCTTTTGATAGCCAAGCCATGCCAGTTCATTGCTGCTGCTGTTTTCCTTTCTGCAGAAAGAATTATTTTTTCTTCTTCTTTCTCAATAAACACTGCAAGAGATGACTGACTGGAGAAAAACATGCTGAGCCTCTGTTATCACGTTAAAATGCAGTTTACACATCAGAACTGGTGTGAGTTCAAATTTTTGTATTTTCAATATTTATAAATTAAACTATAGCTTCCCAGAAAACAAAGATCACCCTATGTCTAGTTTTGTTCAATCTGCACCCTTCAAGTCATCTTCCACACCAGCAGAGCTAGCAGAAGAACATTTGGTACTGTTTGCAGTGTCGACATTAACAGGATTACAGATTAGGGATTACATCTGCATCTTTATTTTCCATTTAACCTTGTCCTTTGCCCCATTGAAGCATTTCAATGGTCAAACTAAACTCATTAGCTTCTTTTTTTCTTATTTTTTATTAAGCCCTAAGCGTTTGAACAAATTCTCAGGAATAAACAAAAACAAGCAGACCTTCAACTAATGAGTCTCCCAGGTCTGTCTCTTCTGCAGTCGAGCCACTTTGGTACATCCACATCAATACACAGAGACAGAAAAGTGATAACGGCAGCAGCAGCCTTTTGATGAGCGTCCTATGGATTGCTGCCCCCTTTCTGTGCCGTTTCCATCCATCTGATCACGACGCATCTCCAGAGTTTCCATGGAGAACGTGTGGTTGCCAAGGCCTGTGGCGGCTGATCACAGAGGGTCATCGTTTATTTCTGTCTGTCAGCAGCAAGGGGAACAGATTGGCAAGGAGAGATGACAGAAGGGAGGGGCTGGAGAAGGGGCGAAGACGCTGGCGGATCCTGAGGGGGCAGCGAGGGTCCGGCTCTCCTTTAGAAGTTTATTTGTCCAGGGGATCACCAACATGTAGTCTGATGGTGTTAATGTACTGACTCTCCTCGCAAATCCCCGTGCCACTTAGTCTTATTCACACTTTAAACAAAGTGCAGCAGCAGTGCAGAGGTGGGAGCAGGACACATGAGGAGGCTACATATGGCCAATTGCTGCGTTGTTTATTCCAAGAGTTGTTACAGCTGAGGAGCAGCCTCAGTCTCCCTGCTCCTCTTCATCTCTCATTAATCTAACACTATGGTTCTGGCCCGCTGCCCGTGCTGTTGAGCGAGCAGGTTTGGAGTGACCACCCACACCGAAGAAAAGCATTATTCCATCTTCTCGTCCGTCACCTGCTATTGTTTATTCTCTCCGCGTTTCTCAGCTGCCATAAAATAATGAGGGGAACATTTGAATTTTGCAGATTGATGGTCGCCCTCAGGGGTCATTCTTCTTCTTTATTTCCTCTCCTAAATTAGATTTTCCATCTTTTTGCTCACTGTTTTTCATTCTCTGTCCTTTACTGTTTTCCTTCCTTTCATCTTGTGGTTCTTTCCCCCATCTCTCTCTCGCTCTCTCTTGTTGGCCCTCCTGCCAGACTTCTCGTCCACGTGTGCAATTACATAGCTCACATTCAGTCAGGGCTCTTTCCATCACAGAGAATGAAAAGGTTTGTTAACACACGCGTTCCTCTTCCTCTTCTTCTTTATGCATGAGTGAAGACTGAGTTTCTTTGGCAGCCTGAAACACTCCGTTATGTTGAAACCTTTTGGCTGGTTCTTACCTCCCCAATATGTCTGCCGGCTATACCTCTCATAGGCTTCTGCAAAAAAATAAAACATCAAATATTCATGCTCCCCTTTTCTCCTCTCTCTCCATTCGTGAATCAATTATTTTGTAGAAAGGGAATCTCAGACTTTCACGTGGCTTCTCCGAAGGTACCTGCGGAGGGTAAAGTGGAAGACGCATTAGGTGAGATGGGCATGCAGACATTTGAGATCCATTAGCCATTATTTTGTGCAGTTGATCCAATATTCTCATCATGTCCTAAAGTATTCTGCTCTCTATTTAGCCTTCCTAATATCACTGCCTCGCACTCTGGGCCTTGAGGTTTCCATTAATTTATCCCCGCGGCTCTCGCCCTCCCGTCTCATGCCATCACCCTCCATCTCTCACACCGACTTCGTCCTCTTCTTTCAGCTGCACATCACTTTCTGAAGGTCAGCATCGGGAGGCAGTCATGTCTGCTGCGAACCGGGCAAGAAGCGAGGCTTCGGCTCTCTGCGTGTGTTTTGTCACCATTAAGTCTGCTCCCAAGTCATGTCAGCAGGGTCATTAGAGCCGCAGTGGAGCTTATTGGGTCCCTGCGGACATCGGCCAAAGATAGCACATCTTGAGCCTGATTACTCATTAACAAAATATAAATAAATTAGAGACAGGAAGTGAAGAAACTACTTTAAAAAAAATAGATGTGTTTTACTGTTTCATGAAATAATTCGATATAATATGTTTATAAATGTCTTTGTGGACAAATAATAGATTTTTAAAGAAAGAGTTTCAGTTTACTGTTAAAGCCAGTGCTAAATTACTAAAGCCATCTGTTGTCACTCTGTAAAATGCAAAAATTTGCAAACATATATATAGAAATGCAACAAAAAAAGGCTGTTTTGCCTTTTTTGTAAAGCTTTGAGCTCCGGCTATCAATTGCTTATTGAAAATATAGTAAAAGATTTGAGAAGACTAATCTTCCTCTATATATATTCCAGAAAATGCAGATCCTGACATCAACTGTGATTTTCCATAAGGGTGCCAGCATTTCCAAAGTCAACATATTCCATGGAAGACAGATTTAGAGCATCAGATGATAAAATAGTCACACTGCTTTATTCTTTTCTGTCATCTACTGAAATCCTGGATCTATAACAACATGATTGGTCCACAGACATGCGTTGATGTATTGAACGCATGGCTTTCTTCAAAATTCTCATTTATTCTGCAACTTCACTTTAGACCATTGCTAAAGGTGGTTAGTCAAGTAGAAGTCTTTTTCTCTCAGTAAAAGTGCCAACACCACACCAAAGAGTGTTGTCAGTGTTTTTTTATTGCCATACCACCCTGATAGCCTTGATATTGTTACTCAGGCGTGTTATACATTTTCTGTTTTAAAATTTTCACGGAAATACTGTGAAACTGGTACCTTTACCTAAGGTTAAATGTGAAAGCAACCCATGCTTGTTTGCTACTCTTTTGTTTTGCTTTCCTTTAAGTAGATTCAAGCCCTCTTACCGGAGAGGTCTGAAGAAACTCCTCCTCGACTTCTGTGTCATGTGAAGTTGTCACTCTCGTGTGGCCGCCTGCTTCGCTGTTTCCAGCAGGAGTCACTTCCTGTGGCTAATCATACTTTGATATGCTGTGGCACGAACCTCGGCTGCCTTTGAAATGAACAAACAAGGCGCCCCGGGAGATCTCGAGGCGACCGGAGCTGTTGGTTTTTGTCTGTTGCACCATGATACGTCCTCTGAACACCCACCTATTTTCTTTTTCTTTTCACGGTCTCTCTCTTTACATTAGTCTCTGTATCTCTGTGAAGAGGGAAGTTGGACACCAGTCAGAGAAACAGAAGTGTGATTTCTGCCTTTCCACTCGCAGTGAGATTTAATGCGTCTTGTTAATCTTAGCTGGAAGCATGGAGGCTGTAGAGAAATGCCAGAATGAGTTTCAACTGCCTTAAACGTATACAACCGTTTTCTCTTCTCATGTCCTGCTGCGTCTGTTCGAATTATTATGTTGGTAATCAATAGATTGTCCTTAAAGAGTTATTTTAGGCTAAGCAAACTTATATGCATAATGTTATTCACCTTTAATTAAACCAGAATGCCATTATTGCGTCCTTTTTATGTGCATTTTGTCAGTCGAGATGAGTTTTGGTGGTCAGTGTTTATTGCCTTGGAGTTAAGAAGGATGCGACTCTAATGTGGTGTCGAGGGTTTTATAAAGAGGATGCGTTGCACCACAATAGCTCTCCAACTTAATGGCCAGAGGATTTTCTATGCAAAGGTAATGATGTTCCGTCTCGTTTCTCCCACCAGCACTCTAAATGGACAAAAGATGTTTTTCTAAGTGCCGAGCTTTACACTGTTCTCACGCCGCATCCTGGGTCTTTCACACTTGGCTTGATAGAGATAGTCTAAAAAGGCTGAGATATTATGTTCGGTCTGCAGAGAGTATGGAAATGTATATCGAGTATGCTGAAGGATTTTGCTACAAAGGAGAGGGTCCGATTGTTGCCAGATCTGTCTGTCACTGTTCTCCACGCCTCTGCGCTCGGATCGCTTCCCCTCCTTCGGCTTGTTTTTTTGGGGTGCTGGTTCTGTGTGGGGGTTTTTAGGGCTTGACGGCTTCACTCGTGTGCTGTCACACGTTTTCACTGGATTGAACTGTGAACAAGCTCGTGCTGGATCTTTCTTTCTCTCATTACTCCTATGAATTGTGTTGAGTCTTTAAGACCTGGAATATTTGCTTTATTTGTGTGTTTAGGGTTGCAGGCACAGCAGGGGCTGCATCGCCTTGCAGGATTCTCTAGGGAAAGTGGAGAAGCTGCAGAGAACCACAGCTCAGGTGGAAATACCTGACAATAGGACACAAATCTGTCCTTTATGGAGGAATGGCTAGAAGGAAAAAAGTCATGTTTGTAATTGGTCACACACCATCTTCCATTGAAGCATAGTGGTGGCAGCATTATGCTGTGAAGATGCTTTTCTCCACATGTGTACCTCCTTATTCAGTAACTTTTCTTTCTTTTGTCCTTCCCTACATTTGCTACCTTTCTTCCTTTTGTCTCACATTCTCTATCTTGTCTTTAATGCCTTCATTCGTTCTTTTTCTCCATCTTTAACTTCATTTTTACTTTCTATCCTTTTTTTGTTTCTTCCTCCATTCACATTTTCCTTTGTCCTTAAGATCTTGTCCTTCCTTTCCCCCTGCTATCTGTCCTCACTAGTGTCCGTTCTTTTCTTCTTTTCGTTTTGTTCTTGGTTCTGTCCTACATTATGTCCCTCCACCCATTTATTAATATGTCCTTCCTTTTTGTTTTTCTTTCTTACTTGCTTTTGTCATTCCTTCCTCATAACATTCTGTCATTTGGTCTCTGTTTTTTGTCTTTTCTTTTGCAGGTTTCATATGTAAAGTGAAACCCTTACATAGAAGTTCACAGAAAACTTTAGTGTTTATGTTATAAAAGCAGTTAAATTGACTGAAGAGGGATCAGATTTCTTTAAAAAAAAATGTGTAGGAACCGTGATTGAAGTCCAATGGTTATTGTCGTGATGAGACAAAAAGAGAGAAGCTGTAGGGGTGTAAATACTTTAGGTGTGAGTGTGTAGGGTGAATCTGGCAGCTGTTTCTTTGAGGAGGATTACTTGGGAGTGAACTTTCTGAGAATACACACGCATCTCCCACACGCCGTCGAACCCACACAGCAGCCGAACGAAGCCTGCTGTTTGTTCTATAGAAGCTGGTATCGTGCTGCTGGATTTCAACTGAACTTGTTTCTCTTTTTCTTTTGTTTTTTCCTAGGAGTGGAGTGTACCCTGAGGGAGCAATGCTGCTCTGATGACCTGCTCGGCCTCTGCTTCCTCTGGAGATTATTCTCCAGTCGGAAGAGCGGGGCAAATTGTCGACAGGATATGGTCGGAGGATTAATGTGATGGATAGGTGATGGACTCCTCCACCGCCCGTCTCCCCCAGTGACTCGCCCTCTTCCGCAGCTCGCGCTCCGGCACGAGTGTGTACCGGCGACCCAGGAACCCTCCACTTCTTTGCCATGGTGACATAAGCAGCACTGCAACATGAGGGAGCGCCAA